TTGCAATTTAATTTTGAATCTGCAAAGCCGTATGCGCTAAAATCTTGCAGACGTTTTAAAGTTCTTGTAAGATGGTACATTTTTAATTAAAATATATCTGTTTACCCCACAATTGTAACAGTGTTAGAAAAAGATATTATAAAACACTTTCTTACATTTAGAAGAAGTGAGTTATTGTCTGTCCAATCATACAAAGTGTCCAGATCAAGTTGTAAATCCGGTGAATCGTTAACAGATTGAATTGTTTTAAAGATCTTCAGGTCATCAGTATAAAATAAGAAATTAGAGTATCTAAAACAAGATGATAAATCACTTACAAATAATAAGAGCAAAATAGGCCCACAATAAGAACCTTGGGTACACCTGACAAAACAGGATAAGAAGAAGAACGGTAATCACCAATACGAACTTGCTGAGACCTGTCAGACAGATACGAAGATAACCAGTCCAAAGTTTTAGTGCAAAATTTTTCAACTTGAATATAAGCAAGCAGTTTACCTACCTTATCGAACGGTTTGGAAAAATCGGTGTACACTGAATCAACTTGTATCTTATGGGCAAAAGCATCATTAAGATAAATATAATACTCTAATAAATTAGTTAAAGTGGACCTGTTTTTGAAGAATCCATGCTGTTTGGAAGAAATAGTAGATGAAGTCATCCAGTGAAGTTATTCAGACACAATAAGATCCATAATTTTGGGAATCACAGATTTAAATATGGGCGTAACGTAACTATTTTTCCAAAGCTTTGGAAACCGACATTTAGACAGAAACCCTTTAAATAGAAGAAAAATAAGTAACGATATCGTAAAGACACAATTTCTTAAGAAAAAATTCCGAATCCCGTCAGGACCGGTAACCTACTGAAGGAAGAATTAAGACGACATATATTCTCAAATACCTGTGATAAAGTTACCTCTAAACCGGAGTCATATACTTCGGAATGACTTAGTTGTTATCACTAACGTAAACGAATGAGAAAAATTTTGAGAATATATTAGATATTTCTTGACCACTCTTTGCACATTTTTCTTGAAATTTCATTTCATATGGAATGCCGTTATTCTGTTTTCTATCATTAACAAATTTCCAGAAAAACTTCGGACGATTTATTATGATATTGCTAAAAACTCTTAATGTATATACATATAAATTATAAAGACTTTGATTAAGTTTTTTACAGCGACCATGTAAAGTTTTGAAATACTGGTAATCCTCAAATCTACCCGATTGTTTGTAAGCTAAATGTGCAAAATATGATGATTTTTACTTGTGATTGATCACTACATTGATATTTTTACTTCCCGATCGTAAGCAAAGGAAGTATTGTAATCGAGTCCGTCGGCCGACTCTCTACTTTTACGTTTTCTCGATCTTTCATGACCCCTAGAAGACGAAGAACTAGGTCTCCCATTTCCGTCTGTCTGTCCGTCTGTCCGTCTGTCCGTCCGTCTGTCTGTCCGTCTGCCGTCCCGGATTTTTATTAGACAGATAATCTCCGAAAGTACTCGACCGATTGTTGTGAAATTTTGTACTTATATTAAGAATATCATGTAGATGGTAAAACGCTAACCAAAATTTGTCTAATCATCCCCACCACTAATGCGATGACGTCACTTCAAAATTGTACATAGTAAATGGGTTTTCAATTGTATAAAATAACATAGTCCTACACATGTAGTTTACAACTCTGAATCGACTTTTCACCCGAAACGTCCAGATTTTTGGAAAAAAAATCAAAATTATAAAACAACATTTTGAAATTTAATTTTTAATCTGCTAACCAGAATGCTTTGAAATGTTGCAGATGTTTTAAGGCTATAAAGAGCATCATAAATCTTTAGTCAAAAAATATTTGCTTATCCCCTCCAAAAACTTGATGACGTCAGCTCAAAAGTTTGTGGAATAAATCATATCTAAAATGTACAAAATATGATGAGTCTGTACTTGTGATCTATCACTCCATTCATATTTTTTGTATTTGCATATACAGGGTGACTCAAAAAAATTAATGAATGCGTAAATATATTTTATTGATTTAATCAGGAACTACAAAACCGAATGCTCTGAAATCTTGCAGATGTTTTAAGGTCATAAAGAGCACTATAAATGTCTAGTCAAAATATATTTGCTTATCCCCTTTAAAAACTTGATGACGTCAGCCCGAAAGTTTGCCGAATAAATCATATCTAAAATGTACAAAATATGATGAGCCTGTACTTGTCATTTATCACTCCATTCATATTTTTTGGATTTGCATATACAGAGTGACTCAAAAAAATTAATGAATGCGTAAATATATTTTATTGATTTAATCAGGAACTACAAAACGGAATGCTCTAACATCTTGCACATGTTTTAAGGTTATAAAGACCATAATAAATGTTTAGTCAAAATATATTTGCTTATCCCCTCCAAAAACTTGATGACGTCAGCTCGAAAATTTGCCGAATAAATCATATCTAAAATGTACAAAATATGATCAGTCTGTACTTGTGATCTATACTCCATTCATATTTTTTGGATTTGCATATACAGGGTGATTCAAGAAAATAAATGAAAGCGTAAATTTATTTTACTGATTTACTCAGAAACTACAAAACCGAATGCTTCGAAATCTTGAAGATATTTTAAAATTATCATAAGCATGGTAAATTTTTGATCAAAATGTATTTGGTCGTCCCCCCTAAAAAATTTATGACGTCACCACAAAATTTTGCTGAATAAATCCTATCTAAAATGTACAAAATATGGTGAGTCTCTTCTTGTGATTTATCATTCCATTCAAATTTTTTCGATTTGCATATACAGGGTGACTCAAAAAAATTTATGAATGCGTAAATTTATTTTATTGATTTAATCCGGAACTACAAAACCGAATGCTTTGAAATCTTGCAGATGTTTTAAGGTTATAAAGAGCATAATAAATTTTTAGTCAAAATATATTTGGTTATCTTCTACAAAAAACTGATGACGTCAGCTCAAAAGTTTGCCGAATAAATCGTATCTAAAATATACAAAATATGATGAGTCTGTACTTGTGATTTATCATTCCATTCATATTTTTGGATTTGCATATGCAGGGTGACTCAAAAAAATTAATGAAGGCGTGAATTTATTTTATCGATTTAATCAGGAATTACAAAACCGAATGCTTTGAAATCTTGGGAATATTTTAAAGTTATTATAAGCATGGTAAACTTTTGTTCAAAATGTATTTGTTCATCCCTCCTAAAAAAATTGATGACGTCACCCTTAAATTTTGCTGAATAAATCCTATCTAAAATGCAAAAAATATGATGAGTTTGTACTTGTGATATATCATTCCATTCATATTTTTTAGATTTTCTTAAGAGGTGGTTCAAAAAAATTAATGAAGTCAATTTATTTTATTGATTAAATTAAAGGCAACACTTATTATTAGTATTACACCCCAACCAACCCAATTTGGTAGACACAAAATTTGTTAAAGGAAAAACTCGGTTGAAACATAAGGGTAGCACGCTTATTTACATCGACTTTAACATTACAGACCTGCATTTGTTTTATGCGTTCACTTGGTTCCGCGAATGTGGAATCGACATGTTTATAATCAACCAATTCTGAATTTCACCGTCAAGAATTAAAATAAAACCCAATGTTTTATATAATAAGCGGAAGTCGAAGCAATAAAACCGATGGTCGTTTTGTTTACAGTTTCTCTGTTTGACTCTCACGTATGCTGTTACGCTTGTCATCTTAAATTAAGAATGTTTATACATAAACGATTTTCAGTTGCCTTTCATATTACCAGACAGCGGATTTTTGTCGGGCTACGTCACGTTTAATCGGTACTAATTCCATAAATATAATTAACGATTTATTAATCAAACGACTAAGTAAATGAGAACGGGAATTAACAGCAGAGTGCAACGAAACAGCGTTATTCTAATCTCAAATAAACGAAGTGTAGTCCGCAACCGCAATGAATTCGCATCCCGCACGAGCCGTGCCGAGTTTGGCCGTGCCTAGCCCGACAGAAATCCGCTCTCTAGATATTACACACCGGCGCCGTATACCTGAGTAAATTGTCTCGTTATTTTATTGATTATAAGAAATCAATATTCAAAACGACCCAATTCATTTTCCCGAAAATTTGGGAATACAATAATTTTATTCTTAGTATTACACTACATCTATCCCAACTGATATACGTGTCCTTGCAAAAATGTTGATGACGTCATCACAATTTTTTTTTAAATTCCCACTACAAAAATGTAATGAGAAAAAAAAACACAATAGGCATGCAGTCGTCAAGTTTGCGACAGCGAGGGAAGTACTGTCTAAACTCTTTAGACCAATTTTTTAGACTTGCTTATACAAGTGGTTCAAAAAATTAATGAATGTATCAATTTATTTCATTGATTAAATCAAGAACGACTCACTTCATTTTCCCAAAAATTTGGAAATACAATACTGTTATTAGTATTACTCTGCACTAATCAAGTTTATGTGCGTTTACTAGTAAAAATGTTGATGACGACAAAATTTTATAAAGTAAAACTCATTTAAAACGTACGCGTAACGTACTTTTTTACATGTACTTTAACATGACATACATATGTTAATTTCAACTTATTTTCATGAAAAAATAAAATTCTCAAAAACACATGCTATAATTTTTCGGAAATACTGGATATGTTTCATTGTACTTCAGGGACGAGGGAAGTTGTGTCGAAACAACCTTCGACTAATTGTTTGTAATAATTCTGCCTTATTCATTTTTGAGTAATCTTTGATATTCTTCGTTTCGCAATTTTTTTTTTGTTCTTTTATCAATTTATTCTGAGCCGACTCGGTTTTTGACATGGATTCATTTAATAATTTCTCTAGTACTCATAATACTTTCTTGGCGATCCAATTTCGTTGTATTTATATTCTCATTGTTTACATTATCTAAAATTCGATTTACTAAGCCAATCTTTTTATACTTTGTATTTATTACTCCCAATTTTTTAGTAAACGGGACGGACAGATGGACAGACGGACAGACGAACAGACAGACAGACGGAAACGGGAAACCTATTTCTTCGTACTGTAGGGGTCATGAAAGGTTGAGAAAATGTAAAAGTGGAGAGTCAGTCGACGGAGTCGATTACGATACTTCCTTTGCTTACGCTCAAGAAGTAAAATTGTAAACGACCAAGTTCAGAATCGAACACACTACCGCACGCCGTACCGCTTCGCCGCAGGTCTCGTTGGTTCCGATTTAGCCACTGCGCCACGTGGACTTCTGTCCGGGATTGGTAATATAACGTTATTATACCTTGCAAATGTTTTCCCGAAAATTTGATCATTAAGCGAAAAAACTGAGAGTGAATTCGTACTCTCCAATATAGCCATAAGAAAACACATAGTATCGTCATGGAGGAAACCTGGCGGAAACTTAACAAAAACAAAAATTATTAGCACCATTTGACTTCCACCAAAGAATTTCATGGTTTATTATTGGAGTTTATTATTAATGTTTACATCAGTGCATTGCTCATGACGTTCTCTATCGATTGGTGTTTTGGGAATTGCTACTAATAGGTAATCTGCTTCTTATTCTTCTTTTTTAAGACTCTTTTTGCAAGTACTTGCTTTTGTCACACATTTCTTGCTGTCAAGTACAATACTACATGATTTAAATTTGCTCCTACTGTTTTCATAATTGTATCAATCCTCACCGTTGCCTTTTTCACCCCTGTGTGTTTCTTTTTTATTTTTTAAAGTCGCTACGATAGGCACCGTTAGCATGAAAAGTGTGTCCCTGTCATATCCAGTTAGTATCAATTTAAGATAATGAATCTTTGTACTTGTTGTGGCAAATGTGCTGAACCTCATAAAATTGTCAATTGTTGTATATGCAGCAGATCTTATAAAATAGATTGCGTTGATGTAACGAATACTGAAGCGAAAAAAATTAATCAGAAATCTGGCCTATCATGGACGTGCAAAATGTGTGCTCAGTTAGGTAACGATATAAACGGCTTAAAAGCTGCAATTGTTGCGTTGCAAGATGAAATCAAAATTTTGAAGACTCAAGTCTCCACACCGGTTCAGTCTACAACTTTTTCTTTGATTGAAACCGAGAAAATTGTCAATGAGGTCTCGGAAAGGGAGAGACGCAAGAATAATATAATTAATAGTAACCAAGAATTCATTATTTCTATTGCAAACGATTGAAACCACGCTGGTCTTGCTAGTTGAAGTTTCGTCTCTGCTGGTTCAAGCTTCATTTTCATTATTTTCGTTATCGGCAAAAATTTGTTTACAATTAGTGTTTTAAGGTAAGTGTCCACTTGCGAGAAATCGCCTCAAAATCAGCCCTGGAGAGCTCCGAGTCCAGTCGAGTAAAGACGAAACACTGATCGGCTGATCTCGCCGCGAACGACATTCTCTCCAGTGGACAAGCCAAACTGCGTTTACTTGCGAGAGATACTGTCCATGTGAAGAAGCTTCGAATTGGGGAAGTATTCCCCGAGAGTAAGCAGTTCATCATAAATCATTTCTCGAGTAAAGCCGACTTATTTTACACGTTTATGATTCTATGCAAACAGTCGTGAAAAGGACTACGCAATTCGGCCAAATCTGATCGTTTACCTGACTTCAACATTTATACAGCGTTTTGAGATAGGTAACACATTTTTATGAAATTATTAAATACTAAAAAAAATGTAAAACGAAAATAAATGACTAAATTATGTTCATTTGTCGTAAATCTGAAGCAAGTAATGTGAAAAGTAGACTAGATTAACTTTTTTAATTTATAATTAAACATCATAGTTTGTATAAGTGATTCTGATTATACTTCATTATTATTATTATTATTTTGTTGCAGTACGAGATTAAACTATGCACAACGAAGTAAATTCATTTTTTATTATTCAAATAACGTTTTTAAATGAATTTTTAATAATAATTTACATATTAGGTACTACAAATGTATTGTTAAGTAGCATGAGTATTCAAAAATTAATATTTATATTTATTTTCGGTGTTTATCCACAAGTGCTTTTATAAATTGATACCTGCCTCACCTGAAAATATAATTATTAGGGACAATAATTTTATAGATGTTTTTACACACTACAACATTGCATGTAATTGTCCTTTGATAAATCATAACCTGCCGGGATGATAATCTTCAGGTGCCGGTCGTATTAAGCGCTCTTACCAATCTAACCCGGGAGACAATTTACCTATACCCTTTTTGCTACCTGTTTTCCCAGCATTTACATTTCATTTGAATTTCTTGAAAGAGGATTAACAAAAAGCTCATAAAATCATAAATTATTTGTCGGTCGAGTACAAATCGCTCGTTTCTCTCGCTAGTGTACCCGAGCAGTGGACAGGGTAGCAAATTTGCTAGAACTTGGGCTCTAGTTGGAAACCAAAGCTGTGCCTCTCTGGAGGTACTTTCACAATACGAACACGTTTCGAATTCCTACAGTTCTGTCCGCGAGTGGTGAGCTTTGCCATGGCCAAATTTGGATGGTCAAAAGACCAAACTGCAGAACTAATTGCACGATATGGAAAAAACGGACTATAGAAATCGCGTAGCATACACTAAAATTATTTTCAACTATACAGAGTGTTCTGTTTTTGAGGCGTAATATTCAACGTACTTTTTTAAATAGAATGCCTAATTCTAATTTTCTAAAAAATTTTTGTAATGAAGCGGTTCACAAAAAAATCGCAATCGTATTAATTTTAAGATCTGTGTTATAATATTTTATGGGGAGGTAAACAAAAGTACGTGCTTTGCTATGGTATCAATTAAATTAATTTCTAATATGCTGAGTGTTTATAAAAACAAAACTAAAATATTAACAATTTTCAAACATCGTTATTTCCGTCAGCCCATTCTCTACTTTTACGTTTTCTCGACCTTTCATGGCCCCTAGAGTACGAAAAAATAAGTCTCTAGTTTCCGTCTGTCTGTCTGTCCGTCTGTCTGCCGTCCCGATTTTTATTAGACAGATAATCTCCAAAAGTACTGGGTCGATTCCAGATTTTTGGAAAAGAAAACATAAAACAACATTTTACAATTTAATTTTGATTCTTACAGCTGTTTTAAAGTTATGATAAGCATAATAAACTTTTAATCAAAATATATTTGCTTATCCCCTCCAAAAAATTGATAACGTCAGTTCAAAATTTTGCCGAATAATTTCCACCCGAAATGTGCAAAATATATATGATCAGTATAATACTTGTAATTTATTATTGTGTTCATATTTTTTAGGTTTGCTTATACAGGGCGACTCAAAAAAAAATGAATGCGTGATTTTAGTTTCCTGAATAACACAAGAATTGCAAAACTGAATAGGTACTTTAAAATCTTCCAGACATTTTAAGGTTATTGTAAGCGTGGTAAATTGTTAATCAAAACATATATGTTTATTCCCAACAAAAACTTGATGACGTCATCTCAAAATTTTTCAGAATAAATTCTATCCAAAGTGTGCAAAATATGTTGAGTTTTTAATTGTGATTTATCACTGCATTCATATTCATCTATTGTTATTTTTAGTATTATACTGTACCAATCCAAGTTGATATACGTGACCTTGCAAAAATGTTGATGACGTCATCACAAAATTGTGTAAAGAAAAAACTCAACTCGAAAATGTTAGATATGTTTCATAGTTCTTTCGGTGCGAGGGAAGTTCTGTCGAAACAACTTTCGACCAATTTTTTACATTTTTAAGAGATATGTGGGAAGAAGATTTTACATAATATTAAATAAGAGTAATAATTGCAATGTTGATTTAATCAAAATCAACTCTACATTAAAATTATATGACATTATAATAGAGGGTGGGATCATATGAATGTGACAACCTGTGACACAGAAAAGAAAGGTCCAAAAACCCCAAAATGTACGTGACATAACCTATGGAGAACACCTTATTTTGTTCAATGATTTACATAATACTTTTACATATGTACCTGATACAAAAAAATCGTAATGTTACTATTACTCTTTCATGAATAGAAATAGCATCGTGCATTTGCGTATTTCTTAGCACAATTTTAGGTCCAGATAATAATTTATGTCATCTTACTACCTGTTTTCACAGCTGCAATATTTTACCGTATTTCATGAAAAATAAATTAACAAAAGGCTCGTAAAATCATAAATTCTTTGTCGGTTCGAGTAAAGAGGGTCCATTTTCCTCGCAAGTGCAACTGTGTAGTGGACAGGGTTTTGAGAGCTTTGTCTGATCGACATCTATCGGCGAGCAAAATTTGCCAAAATATCCTCTCAAATCGACAAGCCCTTGAAAGTAACTCTCGCGAATTCTCGCCAAGTCACTCTCCAGTGGACACGTACCTTTACTTTGGGCTGAGGATTCTACGCAGCATTCTGCAACATTTCCAGATTTCCTACCGCCTAGATGCTTTACAGTCTGTTTTTGTTTCAACAACTGTTTTGCATATTTGTTGTATTCCTAATTACGAATATGGACTTTGTTTTTTGTTATAATGTACCTAAGGTTTATTTGGAAAAAAATACGAAAAACTAAAATATAAGAAATACACATTAAAAAAAAGAGTGTGTCGACCCAGGGACGCACGGCGGGAGTTTTAACGTTGCGTTGTCAATTTGTATAAATTAGACTCGTATACGCGGCGAAGTCATTAATTTTCTCTTAAAAAATAATAAAAACCAAAAATCTGTTGCATTTTTCGACAAAACGATGATTAATGATGATGATTGGGTTAATTAAAGTAAATATCCATGTATTGTCAATTTTTGTTATTATAACATATACTTTTTTTATGTATTTATCATACAAAAATATCTAATTATTATAATAATAATACTGTATAAAAATATAGCGCGGCGTTACATGCCTACGTACAGACTCAGTTCAGACCGGTGTCGGTATCGGTGTCGAACTCGACCTCCTATTCCGGCGCGCGTCGTATACGTGTTCTATATTACGAAAAGAAAGGAGTTAAACTCCAAAAATTAAAGTAGCAGACAAAACTTAACAACAAAGTAGATTCGCACTAATAGCCTACACTTGATTTGTCAAAATTTTGTAGCTTTAGCCAATGTAATTAAGTGTCAAAATAGAGTAATACAAGTGACAGATATAATGTGAATATCAACATTCAATTGACGTGACACTAAGGTGTTAAGCTAAATTTTTACCACCTTGAATTTTGGCTAAAATTACCTCGGCAATCGGCATGCATTATTATATTGGAATCTCTTGAAAATTTTGACGCAAATGATGTTTCTTTGTCTTTAAGTTTTGTCTGCCACTTTAGACACTTATTTTGTATATGCACTTTTCAAATATTAACAAAAATATTTTTATCTACTTATTAAAAATCTTAGTGAAATCGTTTCTCCTCAAAAACTATGTTTAATATTTTTCTTCTGAACTTTCTGCGGCGCTCATTATTATGACTTCAATTTGATACTACTTCTTCAGTTTTAACTTGCTTAAACATCTGACAGTCATGATGCAAGGCACTTCGAATATATTATTCCATTTAACACCATTGAAAACCTACTATTGTATTTTTTTGCAAGGCGATCTCATATATGGAACTTTTGGTTTTATTTATTTATTTATTTATTTATTTGGAAAAGCTGTACGTGATGCAATTTTTTAACTATTTTTAGTCATTTACATCTGAAAATCTATCAAATTCGTTTGTTTATTTTAAGACAGGTTTTTCATTGCGCCTGTATTAATAATAAATCTACTACAATGCGTGCGGTTTCCTACCTAGATCTCTAGGAATCTGATTTTCTTTTATTCGAGCACTTGGTCACGGCTTGAATCATTTGAGGCTGCGGATATAGGGTTTAGGGTTGTTTCAGATTTAGATCTCCTGAAAATAGGGTGCGTCTTGTTTTAGAATCAGTTTCTTTTCGGGGCAGCCTTACAGTCTTCTACCTACCTACCTGTTCTACGGTCGTGGCCACAATTCAATGTGGTTAAAATTTAGGGTCATACCACAGTGTCATCATAATGTCACGTCAAGTGAATGTTCAAATGCATCTTATATCTGTAATTGGTGTGATTCTGTTTTAATTGGTACTTAAATGTATTGGCTAGAGCTTTAAAATTTTGACAAATCAAGTTTGGGTTATTGTTATTATTGTTGCAAAACTGCTTTGTCGTGAAGTTTTCTCTGCGATTTTATGAAAAAATTGTCGGTGTTTTATTTATTCGACATTCGACTGTATTTCCAATGAAGACAGTAAGTTTACATTTCAAGTCTTCCTATACATATACTTTCTTTTTAATTTCAGAAATGTTGGTTATTACCCTATTAATGGTATATATTTCCTACGTCACACATATTTTGCCATATCCAGAGGCCAACCCGCTGGTGTACACAAGATATGGACCTATCATAGGTTTAACGCAATTTTCAAGAAATAAAAGAGAATATATGTCATTTCGAGGTATACCTTACGCAAAACCGCCCTTAGGAAACTTAAGATTTAAGGTAAGCTTATCATGGAAAAAATAATAAAAATACATCAGTTCATATACTGCCAACTAAATTGACCATTTTACTTCATATTTGTGGTAAAATGAATCGTTAGGATTTGAGTAAATCTTATATTTTTTCATAAACTGATCCAAAACTGATCGTAATCGAGTCATCTTTGAAAGTGTAGACGTATGCCCTTACCTTAAACGCGATTGATAATACCTAATTGTGGTGCCTAAAACAAACACACTTTTTATGAGTCAGACGTTGTGGATACAAATTTAAATAAATGAATTTTTTTCATTTTATAATAATTTATTAATACTTACCCGTAAAAAGCCGATTGCTATCTTGATCATTAATTTCATTTATGAATTCAGCTTTATAAATGACACTTAAAAATGTGCATCTAGGGTCACCGCCATCCATAATCCCAAATTTTCACATCTGCTTTTCCGCTTGGTTTTGGTTTTCCTTTATCAGTTGTAATCAGATTGTAAAAATTCGAAGTCTTTTACTTCTTTTAAGAAATTTCGTTACACTGCTATTGAAAAATAGCATTTTTGTCGTAAATTAAAGTCTTTATGTTAAAGGCGTATTTTCAAAAAGTAAGTATTTGACAGTTCAGGACACTTGGGGTGAATTCCATGAACAATTTCCCAATAATCTTGTGAACTATGTACATTTGTACAATGGCCTGAAAAGTTCGGTACCTAACTAGAAAGCGGAAGTACATGGTTTTTAAATACATTCGAATACATAACGAATAGTTAAAAAAGCTTTTTTTACCGACGAGACTTGGTTTTAAATCATTTCATTCAAAAAATACGCGGAAAATCCACATGTTTACAGGAAACATCTCTATATGCAGAGAAAACTGTAGACAACTTTTTTGAGGTAGTGAATTTATATATCGATTGGAGTAACTTTACAATGTTTACTCTCATGACATCAACAAGCCATTTTACTTTTATAAATTAACTACATGATGACGAATTGGCGATGGAGTATTTTCAACAAGATGGTGCCACAGCACTTGCAGCTCGAACCATAGCTGCTTTGTTATGATAAGAGTTTTTTGCAAATTGCCTCATCAGTCTGGCACCAGAGTTTTCTTACACCTGCCGTTTTTTTTTTTTTTATTTTTACTCCTGCAGATTTTTCCGTTTGGCCATATCCCTAACACTCAATCTACTACTTCTCCGTTGATAACGTGAACAAATTAAGACGACGGATTACTGCAAAAATGAACAAAATCAACGCAAATTCTATTCTGCTACAAAATGAGACTTGACGATTCACTAAATGATAAATCATTTTGAAGAAACCGATTTATTAACTAATTGAAGTTCAGGAGCGAGCTCAACGCAATCAGTTTGATATTGAACATGTTCACGTTTTCTCTGACTTTTAAGTTGCTTTTTAACATTGCATACATACTCGTAGATCAAAGTATGGAGGATTTTATCTTTTCAGCCTGTAACCACATACATAAGTTAAGAATACTTTTTTGTAATTGCCCTGTGACATTGAGGGTAACAAGGCAGAAGTAGCTTCGTGTAGCTGCCATAATTTTCGCATTACGCTCATTTTTGCAAAATTTTGTTCACGCAATGACTTTCGGCAAAAATTTGTTTAAACAGCTATTATTTTGTTTTATTGCTATAATAGCTGTATTCGCCTGGTAAATTGATTGTAATTGAAATTGAAGTACAGTAGACGCCGCTTAATATGATCACGGTTAATGTTATCAACCGCTTAGTGTGATCAAAATGGCTTGGAACGGACCCACGCAATACCTATGCATTACAGTTTTTCCGTTTATTGTGATCAATATTTCGCTTATTGTGATCAATCTCGCAATTCTTATACAAACGGGAATTGCTTTTTTGGAGAAGCGAGGCGACTGAAACTAGTATTGTGTTTTAATGAACATTCATAGCTCTCAAAAGGTACATTCGCTTATACCACTTACTTAATACAACCACAATCAGTGGTCAAAAACAGACTTAAGTAATCAGTGTGTTTTCGACTTTTGAACGAACGAATTCTTTCTGTTTTAAATTTGAGTAATATTTATGTAAAAATTAGCACGTCGAAACGACGAAATCTTAGTTTATCAGAGAAAAAAAAATTCCCAGCCCTTTCTTAACAAATTTCTACAACAACCAAAGGAAATCAAGGGTTCCTTTCTCAGAATAGTAACCAAAATTTAAAATAAATTCTAATGTTTATGTACCTTCATCTATCAGCATAATAAACACTGTCTTGTTGATGATTTTGTTTTGTTTCGAGTTTTACTGCCTTTGATGGTGGGGTTCGCTTATTATTATCAGTCGGTTAGTGTGATCAATTTGTCTGAGTCCCAAAGTGATCACATTAAGCGGCGTCCACTGTATCTGAAAAAAATACATGCATTACACGTAAAGAAAAGAACCATTTTCCTTTACTTGTAATAGAAATAACTATTTCTCAAACATCACATGTTCATTTCGTTGATCTGAATCATGTAAAAACATTTACAATGGAGCAGCAGGTAGACTTTTCCAACTTGAGACTAAGTTGAAATTAATCAACATGCTATACAGAAGCATTTCTGTATTTGTCATTTTATTTGGCATGTTTTGGTACACGTCTATCAAACAAACGCAGATTAGAAGTCAAGGATGACTCGATTACAATCAATATTGATCACGCGATAGCTTTTTCACCGACATTAATAAAGCGTGTCCATAAATGTGTCGTGCCCAAGTAGCATTTGGGGGAAGAGGTAATAATTAAACGCTCCTAACATTTTAATACATATATTGAAAGATAAAAACTACAAGCATAATAAAAGAATAAATGAGTAAATATTAAATGGAAAATGGCAAAATAAAATAAGTATAAGGTTAAACCTACGTAATAAAACATGCAAAACTATAATAAAAGCGCTACGCAATTGTGTTCCATTATCAAAACCTTAAAATCTACGAACATAACCCATGAAACTAATTAAAATTAATCCTAAAGATCCTCTAATAACGTCATGTAATTAAAAACTTGAAAAAAATAACCTAATAAATCCCTAAATATGTGCAATACCTTCTAAACCATAATAATACGTGGTGGTACCTAACTAAACCTGGAAAACTGCTATGAATTCGAGTAATGCACTTCATTATTTAATAAACTGCGACTGGGCAATTACCCGCTAGCTAAGTACTATTACAACTGCTAAAAACAATTAAAACAAATGATTCACTGGAAATCATAGACATCTTCCCCTGAGAATAAAGACAAACTAAAACTAAACGAATTAAAACATGTACTTAAATCTACTAACTAACTTATGAAATTAAAACATGCAAAAAGTAAGATAAGTAATTTTTACTTTAATTAATTAAAAACTTGGTTAATTCTATCGAAACTCAAACAGTTCTTGTTGATTAAGCTGTAAATTGCTTAAAAAAATACTCTGAATTGTTTCGGACAAACCTTATATGTATTCACTTCTGTTCTCTTCCTGGTTTCTCAGAAAAAATGGATACATATTATATATTAAAAAAAAATCTTCGTCTTTAAAACTACACATTTAGAAGGTATGCAATTTTTTACTTCAACAAACAACTCTGCGTAAAAATTATTTTATATTTTTACATCAAATGGACTAAAATTAACGTTCTCTCAGGAATATTACACCACAAAGCAAGAGAAAATGTCGTCGTCTAACACACAAACTTAATTAAATTAAAACAAAGCACTTGACTATTAAATTTGTCTAATCTAGTAACTTTTAGTACAAAAAAATACGAAGAATACAATCCAGCTGTCATAATTATGTAACTAACTATATTTTATTTATATTTATACTTTAGGCACCAGAACCAGTTGAACCATGGACTTTTGCTATTAATGCAACAAGAGATGCACCATATTGTATACAAAAAAATTATTTCTTTGCTAACCCCCGCGTGGAAGGAAGTGAAGATTGTTTGTACTTAAATATTTATATTCCAAAAGTATTTATATCGAAATAACTTATTGTATACTTAATGCTAATGAGTAAAAATTTTAGACTGAGAATAACCATTTACTGCCAGTCATGATTTTTATCCATTGGGGAGGATTTTTCGCTGGTCGTGGATCAAGTGACACAATAGGCCCAGAATATATTATGGACAAAGACGTTATTTTAGTAACATTTAATTACCGTTTAGGAGTCTTCGGTTTTTTCTCAACTTTAGACGATGCCGCTCCCGGAAATTTTGGACTAAAAGATCAAACAATGGCTTTGAAATTTGTTTATGAGAACATTGAATGTTTTGGAGGAGATAAAAATCGAATAACATTATCTGGACAAAGCGCAGGAAGTGGTAGTGTCAGCCTTCACTTAATAAGTCCCCTATCTAAAGGTACTCTCTTCATCCCACTCTGTCTTTTATTATTATTTTTTTTACATTTTAAGGTTTATTTCAACAGGCAATTAGCCAAAGTGGTGCTGCTTTAAATTTATGGGCCAAACCAATAAATGCCCTGCAGCCAAATATAACGGCCGCACTTGCTGTATTTACAGGTTGTACTAATTATTTAGGCAATAATATTAAACTTGTTAACTGCCTTAGAGAAGTTGAAGCAACTGCACTTGCAGAAACTGCAGATAAATTTAAGGTTAGTGATAAAACATACCATTAAACCGCAGAAATCTAGCATTATATTTTGTAGTATTTCTCAATTGAACCTCTTACTCCATATACTATTGTTACCGAAATCACATCAGATTCTAATCCTAATCCATTTCTTACTAAAGACCCATTAGAATATTTACAAGCAGGGGAATTCATGAAAATCCCATGGATAATTGGCACTACACAAGATGAAGGAATTCTTCGTGTTTCCCGTAAGCAATAAACCTTTGTTGTATGTTAAGTACTTACACGTAACACGTTATACTCAATACCGTCGCCATATCATTATCATTTGCTAAAAAAATAGTCTAAAGTTTATAAATTAAAAGAAAGAAATGTCTTGTGTCAACTGCTGAAGTAAAGGTAAAGAAACATGTTATGCGGATGTTTAATAAAACAGTCCTAAACATAAACGAAAATAAAATCAACAAAAGGACGAATCCATGAAAGCATAACCAACTAAACACTAAAGAAGGTGTTAAAAATTCCCGACTTGCGCATTTAGCCAAGCTTGTACTCTTCTGCGACAATTCTCATTTATATAAATTTTGGCGTTTGTAGATACAAATTCATTAAAAAATTCAAAAATGTTACTCTTCAAGCTTTTTCTTGTATTTTATAGCGTTTCCGGCACACTACGGGCCCCAAAATACCAAGAAAACCCTGATTTTTGTAGAATTTTATGAGTTCTGAGGTATATTCTGACTTATTTTAATGATTCTGATCGTCATGACGCACTTTCTTTATGCAGAATGACTTATTTTGCGGAAAGGAGACGATTGGGTATACCTATTTTCCTCGTTCCGGAAAATATTTTGTGTTTTCGATGTTGTGGAGATAATGTTCTCTCTGCAAATTTTTGTAAAATTTATTTCAATTATTTGATGCCTTCCTCAATACATATTATCTGCAATTAATATTTGTATGGGAAGACAAATAGAATTTTAATCTGTTTTTATTTTAGAATTAACAAGGCAGCCAGAAATTTTAAAAACACTGAATGCTAATTTCAGCAGTCTAATACCTCAAATTCTGGGTCTTCAACTGAGCGTTGGATTAAATACAAGTCAGCTTTATCAGAATATCATTAATTTTTATTTAGGAGGCGACGCATTCGTAGATGTTTCTAACCCAAGGAGCATCCAAGGTTTTATAGACGTAAGATGAGACCTTACAGTTTTATTCCATTTCATGATGTTAATATTACCTACAGCTGTATTCGGACAGAGCATTTATTTATGGGATTTATCAGTCCATTGTTCTACAATCTAGAAAAGGTCATAAACCCATATGGGTGTACAATTTTGATTATAAAGGAAGATTTACATATGGCGACTTATTTGCAGCTACACCAAATAACATAAATTTCAAGTGGGGTAGGTGTCTTAAATTGAAATTGTATATTATATTAATCATTTTCACAATTTCAGGTGTTAGTCACTGCGACGATTTACTATACCTTTTTAGATCACCAGCACTTTTTCCAGATTTAGACGAAGCCATGGATCTTCATATGAGTGATAGTTTGTTAGCATTATGGACAAATTTTATTATTTATGGGTAATGAATTTAATACAAACTTTCCATTGGTTTATAAATAATTTGCAGAGACCCAGACCCACTCCAAGTAATTAAATGGAGAAGTCAATCACTAGATAATACAGATCACGTTAAAAACATAGATTTAATTGTTTTAAACATAACAGGAAGTTATGATACCAACATTATAGAATACAAAATTCAAAATGGTTTTAATGCAGAGAGAATACAATTTTGGATTCACCAAAACTTAGCTGAAAACTTCCCAGAACTGAGTTGATTTAATTTATTAAGCATTTTTTTAATATAAAACTATTTTAATAAAACTTCCTTACAATTATTACAAAGAGTATCTTTACAATCCATGTAATATTGTAACGAAGCGAATATTTTCGCGGGCAGGAAACCGGGACGCATAGCGAGAGAATCGGGGACGAATCCGCGATCGCCGCGCCGAAAACGAACGGCACTTCCCACTTCGCGATAAAGCATAAGCATAAAGGTGAAAAAAAGGAAAATCTGTGAAATTTGATGTGGAAGTTGAAAAGCGCAGAACCCAAAGTTGAGACCGACCACCGTAAGTACCGTTTTGGGTTTTCTGCCTGTCTGCGAACCGTTTTTGACTCGCCATCCCCGAGCGAAAAACCCTACCGCCGTCACCACTTCTTTCTATAAACCGTTGAGCACGCTTCGTTTTCCGTCGCCGCGCTCCCCTCCCATGTCGCTGTACCGGCCCTGCGCGACTTCCCGTTCCGAAGTTGCCGCCCCCAAGACCAGGAACTCGTCCTGAAGGAAGCCGCCGTCCAGGAGGGAACGGCCGTGTCGGACATCTTGTTCTTTTTTTTTTGTTTGTTAAACCGAATTGTAATTGTATTTTTTCAAAAAGGCAGCGCAAAAAATATTGTATGATACTCGTGTGAAAACTCCATTGCATTACTCACCTACATACAGCGCTCGATTGCGTCTCGCGCCGTATTCCCATTCGTAAAGCAATGGACCGTTTTCAACACTTGTAACATAAATACGTAACTATTAAGATTAGCCGTAATTTTAACCGTGTAGCTGGTGGCAGAGAATAGAAACTCGATTTATTATTAGAAAAATTCCGCCATTTTATTTCTTGTTTCCGCGGGCGCTCACTAGACCGCCTGGAGATCTCCGGCTTTAGAGTCACCCTTGTGCTCCCGCCCCAAGAGGGCGGTGCCCGAACACCGCCGAAGACATTACTCCCAGTGGTGTGAAGCTGACCTCGTAGCCTAAATCGGCTAGACGTGTTTCTTTTCAGCAGCACTAGTCAGTCCAGGGCTGGGCACTGAGGCACGCCACCTACACGTGTCATCGGCGAAATTCCGGACCGCACCGTCCGTCCCCCAGAGTTTCGTCGTAATATAGCATGTCTACTAAACATTTTCGAGTAAAATCCATTTCACTTTATTCAATAAAATTTTGAGATGACGTCATCGAGTTGTTGCGAGGAATAAAGAGATAAATTTTGATTTAGCGGTTTACCATGTAGTTGTGTACCAGATAAATGCTAAACAAATGTAGCATGATCTTGACAAGGCAGGACTAGTTAAATAAAGACATTTTTCAAATTTTAAGATCAAATACTAGCAAAATTTGTCGTATATTTTTAAATTTGGGATGATTGTGGGGCTTGAAAAATGTTATTGTTGTTGAATGCTTTGTCGGGAATATAGAATTACATATATGTGTCAATTTTGACGGCATGGAACACACATTTAAAAGTGTTACATCTGCGGTGATACGGCATATCCGTTCTTCCAATTTCCCAGTGATATTACTTTAAGATCAAAATGGTTTGAAGCCATTGGAAGATTTTGTGGTAATTTGAACAAAACTAAATTCATTTAAATAATATGTGTAATAATTATGTAATGAACAAGTTGTTTAATGAAGGCGATAAACGACCAAAGCATTTTAATTACACAAGCAACCGAAGAGAGCGAATGGAATTAAAAATCGCTAAGATCGTTACTCGCCCTTAACACTTAATCTTAACATAAATCACAACATAAATTCTTTGTATTTGTTCTTCGATTTTTTGGGTATATTTTCTGCGACGTCTGGTGGTGTAAGTGTTGGAGAGATTTCATTATCACAATGTCCATTTTATTTTGGTTAACACTAAAAAGCACGGAACATATTTCGACTATTTGTTGTTGTTATACCGGTTGTTAAGTTATGTATGAGATTCATACGATCACTAATTGTATCGATATTTGACGTCAAAAATCGATGTAAATTTATTGCGAAATTTCTTTCTAATGAGATTTGGAGTTCATAAATCGGAAAACATTAAAATTTTTTATTCCACTTCAAAAACTAAAATATTTACATTTTTTTAATACGCAAATTGATTACATTTACACATAAATTAATACGATGTACAGTGGGATTTTGAGTTGAAATGACATTTGAGTGTAGTACGTAAATGTCATTCAGAATTTATTACGCGCCAGGTTGCTTTAGACTTGTTGGTAGCATTTAATATATAATTATTAATTATAAGCTACTTGCCTGGCTTGCCTTAGGCTGTAGCATAACTTTCCTTAAGCAGATTGTATAATTCAGTAAGTTCTTTGTTATTTAAAATATTTTCTACAACTTCGTATTAATAAACGGTTATTGGAGAACTCGAGATGTATAGACTGAAGGAACCATGTAAAATCAAGAGTAACAAATGGGGGTACCGGCGATGCATTTTTTTTTACAAAAGTAAGAAAGATGCATACATACCTATGATAAGAGGTTTGTAAGCATTGCCGCGAATTTTTGTAAACGACCCAGAGTCTTCATTACAAACTGTCGAAATATATTCCAAAAATTGTTTTGCAACCTTGCTCGATTTATTTTCATCATTTATTTTTTTTTTTAGATTTTGTCTCAGTCTATCTTAAATTTCTAAAATGTCGACCTTTTATCCAGAAAAGTGTGCAGGTAAGCGAAGAAAAATGTTGTTGCCTCGGTTGGAATCGAACCCCACGCCTCTCGCTAGCCGGGCAGGTATCCTGACCACTAGACCGCTAGATCACTTACCTTTCTCTTCTTACCGACGTGTTATTGTGTCGCCACAGGTGTTACCCCATTCCAGTGTATTTTTTCTCAAACTATGCAAATTTATCCAGAATAATTTTTCCGAAAAAAATTCAGAGTTGTAACAATGTCCTGATTTAAAGTTTTCCTAAATTTTTGTTTTTTTTTTATTTATTCCATGTTTTCCCAAATCTTTGGATCCTGTCCTGAGCGCCAAATTTTGTGGCGACTCTTTTCTAATTTTGCTTGTTATCCAAGTTTTGCTTATTCGCTTCTTTTAGTAAGACTCGGGCAGGATTAAGTACCGGGCTAGGTACCTAGCCTGTACATCTGCCTGTTCAGCCCGTTCTCTCAACGGTTCATTTCCTGTCTCAACGGTTGTTGTCACCTGTGCTTAGTTGCTCCAATTCATAATCTGGAAACATTAAAATTATTAAATTCGAGAGTTGGTTCGAGCTTTGAGGTGAGTAAATGGTACGGTGAAGGGGTTATAGGGGATATTTAGTAGCGGTAGTGGAGGTCAATGGTAGAATACCTGGCAACCGGGGGGTTGTGAATTGGATTCTCACTAGTTGTCGAACATTTTTTATCACTTCTACCAGCGTATTATATGTACATAAAATAGTTATGAATTTTATAATCAGATGGCTTGTAGTGCCGTCCTTACGGCAGCCCCTAGCAATATAGTTATAATCCTTACTGATTTCTAGATTTCCATCAATAGTTTAGTTCGTAACGTATGTTACAAAAGTTTTGGGAAGAACTTTCAAAACGATATCTTATAACAAGTATGAAACTAATTGAAATACTAATTAATTCAATAAATTACGTAACATCTAAGGAATCCAAAACAATATTTAAATCAATATTTAAATTATTGACAAAGGTCCATTGTCTTCAGTACAACGCAACTTCGTCCTAATGTGCTGTATTAGGCCTTGGACGATATTCAGATCTCTTTCGCGGATCTTCAAGAAATTTTTTTTGTGGAGTTCTGCTTCATTGTGGACTTCCCATCCAAACTTTCCTACTCAATAAAGCCCAAAAATCTTCGATCGGTCGTGCTTGAGGTATATTTGGGGGATTGTCATTTTTGGGCACAAATTGTATGTTATTAGCTTCTAACCAGTTCCTGGTAATTTTCGCGTAATGGTAAGAAGCCAGGCCCGGCCAAAATATTATTTTGTCACCAGCATAATGAGACACTCCAGCCTCAGAAATGGCACACCAAACCAAAACATTGTCTTCAAACTTCTTTTTTTCTTTGAATCTCACTTCATTTGGACAATTTTTCAGGTCGTCCGTGTAGAAACCATCATTCCCCTTTATTTCTCAATGAGATAATGTAAGGTGTTTTTCATCATCAAGTGTGATTTTTTTGCCATTTGAAAAATGAGTTCGGCGTAGTGCGCGGCAACATATAGGAATTGTTGCTAACACATTCTCTGTGTATTGGAGGCATTTATGCCTTTTACGATATTTTATGCCTGTATTTTTGAGTTCTCTTCTAACAGTTCCATAGGAAATATTAAATCTTCTAGGAAACTGCAACGACGTTCTAACACAGTTTTTTTTTTCATTTTCACGCAACCTGTTCACACGAGCTTCAGCCAGTCGTCCACTTTTTGGCAAACTTAAACAAAGTATTCCTTGCTTGCATTCTGCTATTGTCCTATAAATACTTATTCTAGAGATAGTTTGCTCTCGAAAAATGTATACAATTTCACGCTGAGCGTCCAACGAGGTTCTAGATACTTTTTCGAATGTCTAATTTGTAAGCCATAATAGCACAACTTATATGATTTCTAACAGATGTTACGATGAAAACAAGTTCGAATAACGATTTGTTTATCATGGCAACTAGATCACAAGCTAGTTCTTATTTATTTTGAATCGGCGAAAGTTGTCCCAAAACTTTCGTAACATACGTTACTCAGCTAATCATAGTTTCATAAATGTGCTTTAAAACGGTAAGCCATAGATTAAAGATATAACTATTACATACCTGCAACCTGCAACATTGTACCAATTAAGAATAACCTAGGTTAATACAGGAAATCATGTTTCTATATGTATCAATTATCCTTCAATAACGAGACTATTCCCTTAGCACACATTACGTATTGAGATGACATCGCATCCATCGCTTATTCTCAGTGACAATCAGATCCTTCTGATATCATCACTGTTCTTTACAACTGACTTTGTCAAGAATTTGATGAAACCTCCCTTGCGTACATAGATTGACTCTCGTTACGTCAGGTGATCGAATACAACAGCGGAGGATACGCCTTAGTTCACGGAATTTTTCATGTAATTGATATACGTTAAACGTCCCAGTGTTCAAGTCCAGCTCACTATAAGTCAAACAAATAGATCCTTCCAATGAATCCTAAAGCTCTCTGCCTGACAGTAGCAAGCTTAATCATACCTAATATCTGAAACAAAAGTTAGTGCTTTAGTCTTTAATATTTAAAATTAGTTTTTATCAAAATTGAAATTGTTTCAGTAATTATAGTCTATGATAAGGTATGTGTGTTACTGTCATTCGACAAGGTAATTTTCATCATCTTCTTAAAACTCATGATTAGCTCATAAAAAAGAAGCTGTTAAATAGCCCCTACAAAAAGCTTACACAGTTAGTGAGTGAATGGAGGCAGTGGAGTACAGAGATTTGATAATTCTCGTTTAACCATCTTATTGTTATTTATTGTTGTAATAATAATAATTAGTGCATTGCTTATAGGTACGAATTTTTGGAGAAAATCTGTTTCCATTTTTCTTGATGCACAACTGAAATAAGTACCTAACTAAATTCAACAAAAACCTTTCACAACCATTGACTCGTTGTCGAGAAGGCCGCGTTTTCAAATTGGCACTCCTTCCATGGTGTTTATCTCAATAAAAATAATAATAATAATAATATAAGTATAATAATAACCCCAAAATCTTCCCACCACCCTACGACATTGCCAAAAGCCGACCGTGCTTTTTACACTTTATCATCTACATGCTTCTTCCAGTTCAGTCGCCAGTCCAAAACAAC